GAGAGAGAGAGAGAGAGAGAGAGAGAGAGAGAGAGAGAGAGAGAGAGAGAGGTTGAAGATCACGATGAGGACGACGCGCGTGAGGAATGCCGGGAAGAGAATGTGGATAATGAGCATGAGGAGGAAGAGTGAGATGGATGGAGAGCATCAGAAAGAGAAGGGCACATGGATCAAAACTGAGGAAAGAAGAAGATCATGAGGAGGAATGGCAGTTTCGCAGTGGGTTCTGTTTTTCAACTGCACCATTGGGTTGAACAGGCTTGGTACGGTTTCTTGGTTCATATGTGTCATCCGCGGAAGAGCGAGTATCTGCTCCCTCCTCCATCCCTCCTTGCTTGCTCCCTTCACTGTGTCCCATCTAGTCTGCAAACTGCAACTTTGTGGGTCACTTCACACAGTACAGAAGAAAGCACGATGCTGAAGAGGTAATGGCTTCCTAAACAAAACGCTCGCAGTAAAAGGAAGGGCGGGCTCGGTGGTATTCCATCCTGTTTTCTTCTACTCTCTTATACATTTCTCCTTGGCCGTGGGTTTTTCGTCCTGGCCAAGATTGCTCCCACCCGTGCGATGTTTGATCTTCGTGGCCATGGTTTCAAATTGCTTCCATCCTTGAATAAAAACGTTTGTATATGTTTAAAGAAGGTGCTGTGAATTCCTTAAGTGCATCACTCTTACGCATCATTCTGTTTTTTATTTATTTTTGTCTACGGTGCACTCCATGCACCTGTTTGTCACGGTTCTTTTCTGATACTCGAAACATATTCCAGGTGTCAAAAATGCTGATGTGTCCCTTCTCTAACCCTTTGTGGCGCGGGCGGAGCCGCTGGCCCTTCTTGTTATCATTATTATACAAAGAAATGTTTGTCTCCAACCGCTCTCCCGCACACAACACCACACACATGGGACTGAGCTCTACCAGCTGATGGCTATGGCTTCTCTCTCTCGCACTCTTCGCTCTGGCTTGGTTCACACTACCTCAGTCTCTGTCTCTACCCTAGATCGTAACCCTGGATACACCCACTCAGGTAAGCTTCACAGTTGGCGGCTATGGATGCCCTACTCCCCATGTGCTCTACCCTAGCTATGGAGTAACTCTCGAGCGCCCTCTTCTTCCGCCTGGCGTGAAGTGCCCCAAGTTGCCTTAGCACACAAGCAGCAGCAGCGCTTCCACATCTTTCAAAATGAACAAGTGATCAGCCGCTGCACTCTAGCAGCTAGATACAGTACTTTACTTCGCTTGGCCTGCTTCAGACAGGTACTGGTCGACCACGGTCTGTCTGCTGCAAACATTTTGTCTGTCCGGTAGCGTCTGGACTTTCCTGGGACATGCGGCAAAATTTGACTTTTACCGACCTGTGACATTTCTGTATCGGCACCTATCAACCTACGATGCTTTAACCTATCCTACTGGGACAGCCTGGGACTGGGACTCTTCGGGACCTTGGGACCAGGACTGGGGTGTCTGGAGCGTGAATCCTTTCACTCCGGCCGGCCTAATTTCGAGGTCGTTCGAGAAAATTTGCATCTATATAGGTCGTACACGTTTATTCCCCTCCCGGCCCTCTTATTCCCCTCCCGGCCCTCTCATAAAAGGAGGCAATGTGAGGGGCTGTCTGTATTAGTTCCTTCCTGGGGAACCAGTGGTCTTCGCTGGGTTCCTGATAGGCAAATCTAACCTTGTGCTGCCTTTGTGGTCTCCCTCTCCGGCCTGTACGGAAGACATCTTCGGCCACTACTCTATCCATATCATAACCTCCGTCCATGTCTGGTGGGATCATGGAGTGTTGAGATGGAAACTGATCGTTCGTGATGCAGGGAAGCAACTTAGACGCATGGAATACCTGATAAGTGTGTAGGTGGGATGGAATCTGGATAGTGTAGGATGGACCATCTGCCTCTCTCTTGACATCTAGCGCTTGCCATGGTCCCCTATACGCAGGTAATAATTTCTGCGACATCCCTTCTTCCGGAATGAACTCTTTAGACTTTACCGAGACCCAATAACCTACCGCAAATTGCGAGGGGCATCCGTGCTTGTTGGCCTGTTCCACCATCGGATGCTGGGGATGTTCTTCTTCACCTGCTCTAAGTCTTTCTCATATTGAATGGCAAATTCCCTCGTACCGGGTGGCAATCTTTGAATCTGGTGTGCATGCCGGGGTTGCCAACCGTTGTGCAGTTCATTCGGGGTGCGTGCAATAGACAGGTGTACAGAATTGTTGTAAGAAGACTGCTGCACTTTGGGAAGATGCTCGTTCCAATTGATCTGGTCGGGCCCGTGCAGCACTTGCTGGAGCAGCTTCTTCATCTACTCTGTTTGGCCATTGGTCTCCGGGTACCTACCGGATGACATGGTCAACTTTGACCCATATACCTTCATCAACTGTTGCCAGTGCTCGCCTGTGAATCGACTATCTCTATCGCTAACAATTGGTAGTGGGTGGCCATAATCTTTTACCCAATGATTGAAGAACTCCCTAATTACTAGTTCAGTCTTCGCCTCAGCGGGCAGCAGGATGAAAACAACAAATTTACTAAATCTATCTACGACTACCATTACTTGACTTTTCCCGTTTCTACTTTTGACCTTATTGTCCATAAAGTCGATGGACACCGAGTCACCAGGACCGGACGGGACAGGCAGTGGTCTCAACAGACCAAGGGGGGCCTGCGTGAAACTTTTCTTCTGCTGGCATATTTGGCAGCCCTGGATGCAGGCAATGCAATCGTGCTTCATGCTGACCCAGGTATAGGACCAGAGGAGATTAGCATAAGTCTTCCTCCAACCAAAGTGGCCCTCAGTGT